GCTCCAATACTGGGCTGGCGCCAGGAGAATGTGAGAGAGGTGTCCGATGTATATCTTACTTCAAAGGCCTCAACTGGGTATGCAACTGCATCTGTTAAAAACATATTTTATCATCCAACTGCCTTGTGCACAATAATGGAATTACATCTATGGTGATGGGCAAAGTCAAATCTCATGTGATCGCCACATACAAAAAGCCTCAAAACTCAGTGAGAATGACTCGCTAGACCTTCAAAACACACTAGCAACAGTCTACGGGTCTCATGTGTCAGACTTTCTTTCAGTTCTCCATGCAAGACTGGCTAATGCACATTCCATGTCATCATCACAATCTTCATCTCTCAGTAAACCACCATCTCCTTACCGGAACCAGTTGAAGTAGTTCAACTGGTTCAGGTAAGAAGGCAGAAAACTACTATTTGTGAAAATCGAGCCAACCTTTTCTGTAGCAGTGACAAGTTTGCTTAGCATCTGACGCTGACGGGGATAGGGATGTGGGACGTGAAATGATTCCATTTTCTGCTGCTGGCGATCTTAGCCTGCCTGACAGTGTAGGGTCCAGCATGAGATGGTACAGAGAGGAGAAGGAGAGAGTGGGTGGTGGGTGGTAGTGTACCATTCACCACAGTCTCAGTCACAGTGACACCATTTCCTGAGACCACAGGACCAGAGACGTTCATCCACACAGCAGAAGGAGTGTTAGTAAATCCACGAGTGGTCTCCTGGACTGTACATGTCAAAGTGGGACCAGGCTTTCCAGCTAGTGGTGAACCAACATCAGTCACACTTGCCGTGACTGTGATAGGGTTTTCAGGCACTGGATGAGTGGAGAAATGGTAACACACACATCATTTGTCCGATTACGTACATTTCACTACCAATGAAACAGTTTCCCTGTAGGTATCATCATCACCAGCCACAGCAGTGCAGGTATACTGCTGTCCATGTAGGTCGTCTGTTACTAGAGGAAATGTATACTCCAACACAAACAGATTGTCACTATTGCTACTGGTCAGCACAGTCGACTGGTTCCTCCATTCGATAGAAGATACTACTACAACATTGGTTCTACAGCTGATGGTTCCTGACTGCCCCACAGTGAAACTATCCTCACCTGATACGGTGATACCTATGTGAGGAAATATAGTCACCGCGATCCTATGGAACTAGCATTTGTCCGACATTACGTACATTTCACTACCAATGAACAGTTTCCTGTAGGTATCATCACCAACCACAGCAGTGCAGGTATACTGCTGTCCATGTAGGTCGTCTGTTACTAGAGGAAAGGTATACTCCAACACAAACAGATTGTCACTGCTGCTACTGGCCAACACAGTCGACTGGTTCCTCCATTCCATAGAAGATACTCTCACGTTGGTCTACAGCCTGATGGTTCCTGACTGCCCCACAATGAGACTATCCCCACCAGATACAATAATGCCTGATGTGATGGTAACGAAAATGAAACAAGAACAATGAAGTGATAACTCACCAAGGGCCACTACCACACTAGAGTTAGAGCCCAGATCATTGGAGACTGTGCAGTTGTAGGTACCAGCAGCCCCTTCAGGACTGACCGTCAGGACATTGGAGTAGGTGGAGGCACTGCGGTCAATGACAGTCTGAGAAATTGTGTAATCCGACGTAAGAGGTGCTCGTCCTTGTCCAGGAAGACATTGGTGGCAGGGGAGCCAGTGGACCACATGTGAGGGTATGACTATCATTGCCCTCGTGAGTAGGTGAGATTAGTGATGGTGGGAGTCACTGTATGTGGAGGAAAAGAGAGAAGTTTGATAACACAACTCCAATGGCTCACCATTGAAGGTAGGTGGAGGCACTGCGGTCAATGACAGTCTGAGAAATTGTGTAATCTGATGTAAGAGGTGCTCCGTCCTTTGTCCAGGAGACATTGGTGGCAGGAGGGAGCCAGTGGACACACATGTGATGTGACTATCATTGCTCTCGTGGTAGGTGAGATTAGTGATGGTGGGGAGTCACTGTATGTGGAGGAAAAGATAAATTTGATCACACAACTCCAATGGCTCACCATTGAAGCCAGGTGGATACAATCCACACATTGAGGGATATGTCTTTCCATTGGAATCAGGAATAGTGAAGGTGTATACTCCTTGGGCTGAGGCTGGAAGATGTTTTCGTATTGGTGTATTCGTGTGTTCCATCACCTGATCGAAGACGGAGAACTCCAGGTCGACCGAATGGGTTAGTTAAAGTCAGAGTACTATTAGCTATCACCAGGGTTAGTATTATTTCATTAGATTTAGTATCGTCCACAGTGTAGGATGTGGTCCCACTCCGCTGTATCTGAGTTAGAGACACACTCAGTCTCATGTCGTTCACTACTGACTATCAGTCCATTGTTGGGCTCTGGGACCTGATGATACACTGCTGTCAGACCTAAAGCATATAGCCCTGCACCTGAAAATGAACTTATGTCAGTCACTGTGACAGAACATATCTTAACTCACCATAACTTGTAACAGAGAAGTTATGCTCATGTTACTCACTGTCATGGATCTCCATATCTCACTGACAGTACATGAGTAGTCGCCAGCATAGTAGGACTATAGTTCCGGTCTCCCCCACCACCAGTGTGGAAGTAGTGTGATGAGATATCAATGTACAGCTACACCGATGGAGCAGGGGTTCCCAGTAGAGCACACTGTAGCGTCGAGCTCACTGTGTCCTCAATGTACAGTGATAGTAGATCACTGGTGAGAGACCACATGTAGCTCAGAGCTCCACTGTGTCCCTCAACTGAACATCTGAGAGTTAGTTTACTGCCTGCAGTGAATTCATTAGGACCCAATTTCCCAGGGACCTCTCCTGGAGCTGGTTCATAGAGTGCACTCACAGTCACATTCAGTTCTGTATGAGGAGATACAACACATTAAGGAATGATTTATAACTAACAGAGCCACTTACTGACAGTGATCATTGTTGTATTATAATTATGCTAGAGGGCTGTCCAGTATATACAGACTATTAGTGGAGTCAGTCACTCTGACTGAACAGGTGTATATACTCTCCACTATCTGCTGTCTCTATGCTGGATAAATCCAACTGTGGACTACTTTCATTCTCAGCATTGAGTTCGTTGTTTCTACCACCAGGAGTGCTCCAATTTGAGTGGACAGTGGTGGAGGTGTCCACAGAAAGAGGCTGGATAAAACAGGAGAGCGAGAGACTAGACCCAGACACTAGCTCCTGCTTTTCTCCTGATACAGATACTATCACCACTGGCCTGGGGACTTAAAGTAGAGCTATATTCCTGCAAATGTCTCTCTGTTAGCTACTGTACCTGAAACCATCAAGATGTGTGTATCAGATGCAGTCACAACTAGACTAGTAGCAGTGACAGTAGCTGTCACTGTGGCAGTGATGGGACCACCATCATAAGAGGTAACAGGAGAGTATAAGAGAGAGGACATACTTCCGCTGACTACTGATACAATGGTATGAGAGTCATTGGCTATGACATCATTGCCTCTGGTCCAGGTAACATCCACTGAATTCACATCACTAAGAGAGATGTGAGCTGTCAGAGTTAACTGAGTCCCAATGTATGCCGTGTCATTGTGACTTCTCCTGGTGACTATTGTCTGGGATTGGACCTCCACCAGACACCAGTAGAGAACACAGAGAACCAACAGTAGCAGCCTCATTCTAACACACGCAACACAGAAAGTCAAGCAGTCTGATCCTATATAACACATGAAAAATTGAGAGTCAGTATCCACAATATTATAGCTAATAAAAGCAATCACGCACAAGACAAACAAGCTGCCCAAAAACACACCACAGCATGTGGTCATAGTTGTGCTTAGATCAACATTCGAAATAGTAATGACATCCTTTTAGTGGAAAACACTGAGGAAGAGCTTTAGTCAGAGTTTCTGTTCTACAACCGACATGATGTTTTTGCAATTATTTTTGCTGCAATAGTGCAGTTCTGCATTGTAGCTGAGCCCCACACAGACACGACACACTTGCAGTTTAGAGCCTAGGGAGAACTTGCAGTTGTTAAACTTCAACTATCAGAGACAGAAACATCACTAGTGAAGATAGTAAACACGGCCAAAATAGAGAAAGAGTCACTTGTCCGCTCTAGTTCGGAGACTTGTTCGGATACCTTCCACCCTTACGTCCCGCGTTCCGAGCGGACGGAATCCTTCCCGCGCATGCGTTGACGCGATCTGAACGCATGCGCGCACTGGTCTACAATCGCGGCTATGTCAGTCGTTGTATATACGGCACAATCTAAGAATATTGTCAAAATTCAAACAAGTCACTGGGCCCAGGGGGAATAACATCATATATAGTCAGTGTCTTCCTCAGTTCCAGAGGTCAGTGTGAGAGGAATGGCGGGGAGGGGCTGGCTGGGAGGAGCAGGGTAAGAGTAAACATGATCTGCCAGTTCCTCTTCTCTCTCTCTCCTGCCCCCACCTCCCCATATACCTCATTGGTTGAGATGTGGATACCAGATCCTGACGACCCACTTCTGTAGAAAATTCGTAAAATTTTACGCTCACATTTGGTAAGGAACATACTTATTGCCAGCACTCCTGACTGAAAACTTCCCACGGCAATTCTTGAGCACTGAAATGGCTATTATAACAGTGGCAATTGTGACAACTGCAATGAGAATAATTGCCACAACTCCTCCAATTATTGCTGCATTGTCATCATCATCAGCAGCCAAACTTAACTCAGTAGTAGATAGTAGTGAGGATGCACAGAATGATCTTATATATTATAGTATGACATTATGTACCGATATGTGCAGAAGCACTGGAAGGCTTGTTGTAAGAAACTGAGCATACATACACTCCTAAAGCATCACAGTCAGAGTGTGTGTGTACTGTGCAGTCGCTGGGTCATTCAACACAGTCTGGGTTCCTTGGGTGACAGTGGTGGAGTCTCTGGTCCAAGTGACAGTGGTAGCAGGTCCACCAGTGGAGATACAGGTGAGGGTGAACGGAGGACTGGCTCCACTGAGGTGTGAGTCCACAGCAGTCACTTTCACACCTCCAAGTATTGAAATGTCACCTATACAACAAATATCTTGTAGATTGGGGATTTGGCTATTGCAAAATTCATGCGTCTACTTAGTTGGAGTTGGGCATCTATATCGTTGTTTGATTATCTCTGGTCTACTCCATGATAGACAGCATTATGATTATTTATCACAGAGTTTGGGATTTGCCTTTGCCTTTTTTGCACTGTATTTTATTTGCAGCTGACTTTTATCCCTGCCTCCTGAGATGACTTTGAGCTCTGCCTGCTGAGCTGCCCTCGCAGCTATTATCATAGCTCAATGGTAGAAAGAGCACTCTGTCTGAACTACTGAGCGTCATGGGTTCAAGTAAGGTCACCCAGGGCATGAGCTCAGTACAGCATGTGCTGGTGTCAGTGATGCACTGAACACTATCGTTCTTACTGTCCCCCCACTAGACTGAGGTCCACATATATAGGAATGGTTGGCCAGAGTCTGGCCCATGAAGGAGGCATAGGGAAAGCTCTGTTGTTGGGAGTGGACCTCCACAAGGGACACGAGGAGACTCAGAGAAATGACTGTCAACAACATTGCATCACTGAGCAAGTCTCAAACTGATCTTGCACTTTACTCTGCGGCATTTATGTACACACTGAGAGCATTATAACGTTTCTTTTTGCAGCAACAGTAACACATTACAGTGTGTCATGTAGCTACACAATATTTCCAGACCAGCAGTGTGACCATCCTCATCAATTGGCACATGACTATATATACAGAGGGTGCTATAATAGAAATTCTGACCATGTTAAAGAAAGTGTATCAACTATGGGTAGACATACACTCAGGGATGGCAAATCTCATGTCATGATCTGCTATTATAATAAGCCACCAAACTACGGATCTGACTACCAAGTACATAATATATACCAATGCCAATGAACGGTCAATGACCTCAGTGGTTTCTCATGAAGTAAATGAATAAACCAAAACACAGGTCACATGCACAATGATGAATACTGAATCCTAGCTAGAGCAGCACCTATATATTCACTAATCCCTTTATTCCAGCAGGGGTCTTATACATTAAGGAAGCCTTACTGTAAAATGCAATGGGGATTTTTTGTAGCTAACCCACAACAGTCTTTTGATATTTCAAAGGTTTCAACGAAAAAATCATTTGCATTATGCATGTTAAATAAAAAATGGGTAAATTCGTAAAGACAATTGATGGCACATCACTAAACTGGGCTCGAAAATGCTACACACGACTAGCCACCAATAATGTTTTTCGTCACTGTGCTGACAGTGCAGCTACAGTCAGCACTACGTAGCAACTGTGGCTTTAATCACTTTTGTTTCTTCCCTGCCAGGCCTGGACCACCCCAGGAATGAGGACAATGAATCCCATCTCCTTGGCAACCGCAGCCAGGTCCGTTGCCCTGTTATCCCCTCTCTGAACCAACTGCACGTCCCCAGACACCCTTTCTTCGTCCCTCACTGGAGAATTAACTTTCTGAGCTATGTTCCCACTTTCAGGATCATTGCCACATTTCTTCTTCTTGTTTTTCCCGTCAGACATCATTGTAATCATTGCAACAGCCAACAGAACGCAAGCAATGGAGATTGCAATAACCAAGCAGAGGTAGGCTCCAGTAGCAATACTGCCTCCCTCATCTTCACATGTGATTTGACGGAAAGACATTATCAATATGTTGTAGATGCTGGAGAGAGTCATTTGCATCAAGACGACCAGGATAAAGTTGCCCTGGAATCGAGATTTGCGGTACTGCTCAAGAATTGCAAACAGTGCCAAAAACAGAAGGACGACAACGGTGAAAAACGAGACGATGTTTGATAGTGTGGACACCAGGTCCTCAAATAGAGAAAGGACAATGAAAAACGAGTGGAAGAACGCTGCAGTCGTGCAAGCAGACAAAAGACCATTACCCACCTGACAGCATGTGACGTGAGCTTTTCTAGATTTCCTGCATCCCGAAAAGACCACGCCTCCCAAGAACGAGGCAAGCCCGGAAAGATTATAAAAGAGCATGCATTGAGTCATTGGAGAGAAGAAAGGATCGCGGAACAAAAGTACCGTCCACTGTCTCCGAGAAGTGACAGTAGTAAACAATCATAGAGAGAGTCAAGTAGACGATAAAGAAGCCTGACACTAGTGAGGCCGTGGAGAGCAAGCTAAGTTGGGCAGTTTGCAGTGTCTGTGTCGAGAATCTTGATGCTAGAACACTTTGGAGTAGGGTTGAGAAGCAAGGAAGGGAGAAGGAAGGTGAGGAAGAGAGAGAGCAACCCGATAGTCATGAAGAGATGCACTTGCGATGAGCGAACAGAAGATTCATCACTCAATGGCTTGAGTTGCAATTGATCTTCGCCCTTACCTGAAGCCCTAAGTACCTGCGCAAACACAATCAATTGCAATTGTCACGTATAAAGCAAGTGGATACACACAAAAATGTCTTACCAGTTGGAAGATTTGGTTGTAAACTCTCTCCGTTGGTTAGGCCCAGGGCAGCCTGCAGCGGCAGAACGATGGTGGTGATGTTGATCGCTCCGAAGCATCAGTAGAGCCGAGCGTCATGACGTCCCAGGCCGCCGCTCCCAGAGAGGCCAGTAAGGACTGTAGCTGGCGACGAACGACGGTCCGCTGACTGTGTCATTGGGTCGGCTTTGCTCTTCTTCCCCGCAGAGATCGTCGTACGCAAAAATCCTGAAATCCTCGTACATGTTGTACGAAACGTTCAAGAAGAGGAAACGAAGATAAAAACATGACGGCGGGTGGGGCGAAGTAGTGTTGGGTCCTTCGACCAACGCTGCTGCATAACGACCCTGCCAGATGGACGTGTAGGCCACCCCAGTCTCGCGGTCTACGGCTCGAGACACTCTGGCTGCTGCTCAGCGTTACCTGGAACGAGCGCGACTAGCAGAAAAGGTAAACAGAAGAACACAGACATGCTGCAGACGAAAAACGAAAACCGCGGAGAAAGCCATCGCTGTGCTAGCAAAACTCTTGCTGCACCGCCACAGGGGTGGATAGAGTACGTGTTCACAAACCACTGACTATCACGAGCCGTCCCTGGAGTTTCCCCCAGCCGGCGCTGACGTCTACGACATGCGCGCGCCTTAGAGCATGGCGTTCCCGTAAAAAATCCTATTGTCACCAACTGATAAATAAATCATAGAAAAAACGAAATAGTGAATTGGTGAGTCAAGAGTTAGTCATGAAAATAGCGGCAGTCATCGATAGACCATTGCAAAAGATGACGAGAAGAGTTCAGAATTCAGACTGCCTCGAGATACTTGATGATCCTACGGACATCTCCAGTCCTGTACCACTGGAGCCCTGCCAACAAGGAGAGAGGATGAAAAATATACAGACGAAAATATCAGCTCATTCATTTAGGGGAGTGAGATTTCTTCAGTGGGTTATATAATTATAATACTGTTCAGCCAGTAATTAGTCAGTATTCGACCCAAAGCGAGAATGCTTTGTTGTTCATTGAGCACCTTGTGTGTTCATTTTGCTATAAAATCACATGTATATACTCATAACAACAGATGGACAAATTGCTCACCTGTTATATAATTATCCCCTAGGCTACAACGACCCCAACGGCACCATTATAGGGTATGATTTACTGGCCAGTAGTAGTAGCACCCACTTAGCTGTATATACTAACACACAGCAGAAGGCTGAGTCACTCCCGAATCAACACCCACTTTGCGGGAATTCAGGCATTGTGCTGGAGAACCATACCAAGTAGGTTTGATGATGGCAAGTATGCGTTGCCGCTCATATAGCATACCTGCCATCATCAAACCTATACATATACTCAAGGGGATTGATGTAATGCACAGTTGAGGCTCATGGGGAGTAGCTAATCCCCTCATTGGCATATTTAGTATATAATTCCCACTAGAGTTGATAGTGTTGTAACAACAGTAATACCATTTAGCGTTGTAATAGATACTCCCCCTCCAGGTCCTCCCACTAACAAATCTGATTGCATCTGATTGTCCCCATAGAAACAAGCAACCCGAAAAGCATTAGTCAAGTTCATCACAAACATGCAGACCCAGCAGACCCAGGCAGACAGACTCACGGTGAGGGTCATCACAAACCATGCAGACCCAGGCAGACAGACTCATCAGTGAGGGTCATCACAAACCATGCAGACCCAGCAGACCCAGGGGGAGACAGACTCACAGTGAGTTCATGAAGGCGACAAACTCCTATGAGAACAGCCTCATCTCAGCGAAGGTCTTGGACGGCATTCCACTCCTAGTGAATGCAAACTAGATTAATGTTGTGGTACACAGATACCATAGTTTCCTGAGTCACTGGAAACTCTTATAGGGCTCCTTGCTACTAGAGTCACACAGTTGTATGCTTCTTCGTCACTTCAGGTCAAAGCAAATCAAACGCAAACAACACAACTATGTCAGGACAACTCTGGTTCAAAGGTTAAAAATATACAACACAAGACAATAATTCAGGCAACCTCCAACCACTGTTCTTAGAAGCCAAGGTCCATGTCCTGTTGTGTTGTGGGTGTGGCAAGGAAACTACATGTAGGGCCTGAGGGGTTCAACCTCCTCCCAGGTCTCCTCCAGGTCTGCATCCAGGTGCGCCTCTCCAGGTCCCCTCCTAGTCCCCTCCCAGGTGCGCCTCTCCAGGTCCCCTCCAGGTGCGCTCTCCCAGGTCCCCCTCCCAGGTCTGCCTCCCAGTCCCCTCCAGGTGCGCCTCTCCAGGTCCCCTCCCAGGTCTGGGGTGGGTGGGTGGGGTTTGGGCTGTCCGGATCCCAGGGTCCCCCTCCCAGTGCGCCTATCCCAGTCCCCCTCCCAGGTCTGCCTCCCACGTCCCTCCTAGGTCAACCTCCAGGTGCGCCTCTCCAGTCCCATCCCAGGTGCGCTCTCGTCGCCCCTCCCAGGTGCGGGCGCCTCATCAGTCTCCGAGGTGCGCCTCTCTCGCCATGCTCCCCTCCAGTCTCACAGCCCCCAGGTGCGGCCTCTCATGTCTCCCAGGTGCGGCCTCCGGTCCCATGCTTCCCACCATCCCAGGTGCACCTCTCCAGGTCCCCCTCCAGGCGTCCTCCCAGTGCGCCTCTCCCAGGTCGCCTCTCCCAGGTCCCCCTCCTCAGTCGTCCGGCTGTCACTGAGTGTGGAGTCATGCCGGGAACCTCCCTCCTCTTCCTCTCCTCCACTCCCCCCTCCCTCTTTCTCTTCTTCCTCTCTTGGATCTGGAGATAGAGGACAGGGGACACACACTCATTAGAGGTAGGACACAGGAGCACCTGCAGTAGAGGTATATATATCGCGATACTAGGGGACAGGGACACTATTTGAGAGGCACATCTCACCACACTCCAACCACTGACTTTCATCATGTGGGTGCCTGGGGTTTGCAACATGTGACATGGCCTCTTGAGGTGTTTTTTAGTTATCCTGTCATAGCTGTATATATCCCCACATTCGTTCTGCTCACTGCTAATATAGTCAGGTAAATGGACTTCCCTGTTCAATTCCCTAAAGTAGAGTTTACCTATTTCTCTCAGAGTGGTCTGAGCCTGCAGACGGTCAGCGTAGGAGGGAGTGAGGTCTCGTCGAAGGTACGTACTAAGACTGTGTCGAATTGAATCGACCAATCAGAATGTGTAAAATAAATGCGAGTCTAAATCTTGTAATCCATGGGGAAAGTAGGGTAAGGGCTCAGATGATCTAACTGCATGTGTGTTCAAAGTTGGGGTTAGTAATCAGAGTCAGAGAAAGAGATGAAATGGAGCAGGCATGGTCACACGCGCGCAGCGTACACATACGCCACAGAATGCCATTAGTCATGAATAATTAGCACAGCTCAGCATACGTAGATCCTACTAATGATGTTTAACCATTGGACGCCATGGGTATCTGCTTAAATGAGCAGAAATTGATTTATAAAGTATTAGCGCATAGTATTGTAAACCCCCATATAAATTGCTTATGGACTTATGAGCTCTGGACACATTAATGTGTCCGTGGCTTGTTGGTGTATGTACTCCGTGCTCGGATATGTTAGCACATGTGCGGTTCTTGCTAGGAAGGCAGAGTGTGTAATCAATATTGTGTATGATGTACGTTGAGAATAGTTGACACAGACAAGAGATAACTACGTAGTCATGAGCAAGGCTGGTAGCTAACGCCATACATGGAAAATATTCAATCACATGGCAGCTTCAGCAGAGCACTTGAAAGACTATAACAATCATGAATAGACGCCCTCCCAAATGACTATACTTTGCTCTTAGCGGTATCATGTACATACATATTAACCCTAGGCGCGCATGCGCAGCGAGGGTTACGGTAGTCGTTCTGTCATTCTGTCCGTCGTCTGTCCGCGCGAGTTCTCGCACTACAGCTACAAGGCGGCCAGTAAGTGGCACCAAAGGGTTGTGAATAACGATAAGATGGATATTAATGTGGCGATTTTCCTGAAATGACTGCGTTCCAGAGATATGGCGTGAAAACAAGCGAAAACAGCATACGCGAGCGATCCATCGCGCATGCGCGTATGTGGGTGTATACCATTTGCCGGAGCATCAGACGCGAGCGATCCATCGCGCACGCGCATATGTTGCCGTAACTAATCGTTTGCCGGAGCTGCGCATCTGCGAGATGCACGTGGTTATTTTAGTTGACCTTGGACGAGCAAGCGGTTTTGAGTTTTCTCTCCTCTGTCAGTGTTGATCTCTGTTCTCGATGGACAACAAACTGAGCAAGGTATGTCCTCAATGTAGTACAGCAGTTCACGTTAGACGAGCAGTTTGTGCCATGCCTTCCCATCTAAGCATAAAGCCCAGTCTGGCAATATATCCCAAGCAACGAAGCACAGTAGAATGCAAAAAGCGAATGTGACAGCCTTTGAGTGTGGTATACATAGTCACTATGGAGTAGTGCTATGTTTCTATGTATATCACTTGACTAATTTTATATTAATTCGGTATTACCATCCCTCCTATACAGGCTATCCATCAAATATCTCATACATGACAGGATTAAAGAAGAACTCTCATTTCTACGTTGAAGGATCCCTCTGAGCTATATTATCAAAGCACAGACACTCTATCCCGTCATGTTCAATGCACAATAATGCTCCGCTCATAGCTGAACTGTGTTACTGCATACTTGCAACAACATGTCATTTGGTTACCCTGGTAAGCACTAATGAACTCATAGCAGATACCCTTTATCCAATTTGTTCATCTTATATTCAATTTTGTAGTTACAGTGGAACCTCATTAATACGAACACTGTTAAGCGAAATAACTGTTTGATACGATCCACTTTGAAATAGCCCACCTATAGCTTACAAAACCATAAAAGTGCGCATTTTGAGCCGAGGGTTTGCACTTTAGTGCTTTTCATTATGTAGGTAATGACCAAAACAAACATTTGTTGAGCTAAGCAGACTCATACATGCTTCATGAACAGTAGGTAAGCATGAACATTACTGGCGAGTAGACGTAAGAGTCAGATGTGGCACACACGTGTTCATGATAGCATTCGATTTCGTCCATATATAGTTATACGTACATATGTATGTGCGACAGTCCTCTTCTTGTTGAACTACATGTACACATGGAAAACAGCGCAACAGCAACTCAATACCAAAATAGTTGGTGTGCTAATTATAACATCCACTAAACCCAACCCCCCCTCAAAGAAACTTGCTGTATACCTCAATGGTAGCTCCCTCTGCATTGTGGTAGTGCTTGAGAAATAGTGCAATCAACGACCTCACACATGTGTTGCGACCTTTCAGCAAACCACGCCCCTCTTCCTGGGAGGTCTCGTCATCACCCTTGACCTCTGGTGGGGGACACCCCTCGCCAGTGGGCAGAGTCTCGTTGCCATGGAGAGGGACGTGGTAATCAACTGGCAGCCTATCCAGCTGTTGTCTGTTGGAAGAGTTGTGTTCTATCATGTTGATTAGGAGCCCAAGACCCTAGGGGGGGGAGAGAGGGAGGGAGGGAGGGAGGAGGGAGGGAGGATAAAAAGCACGCAGGGTGCACGAGCTACCGCATAAATAAAACTTTGCAAGTGAAGCTACTGTTTGTAACAGTTGTGAAGTGTAACTATAAACAGTCATGATGAATTGCTGTACATTATCCGAAACACTTATGAATTACACAACAGGGATGGAGCTCGGCCAGACCTACCAGAACATTAGTGTCGAAGCGATGCTCATCTGGTAGAACATCGCACAACTGAGATACAAGAGAAAAAAACTTTACATACAAATTTTACAAATACTAAACGGATCCTCAAATGTGACCCAATTGGTTGTAAGTTGTATTATATGCACATTTGCCAGAATAAATTGCCAGAATAAATTGCAGTGAAACTTAAAAATTTGTATAAACACTTAACCAATCCCCAAACTCGTTAGTTAAATCTGTTTTTTACTTTACACGAGCCAGGAAAAGCAGGAGTGGAGATGTGATGCAATAGCAACAGATTATAAATGTTAGTGCAGCAAGCAACGTTGATGAGTTCTGTCAGAAACCAACAGAGGGTTATCTTCACTACATTGAGTGAGGAGAGACGTATGTAGTACTGAGTACCAGGAAGATGATGTCAAGAACAGTCTTGACGGCTCCTTCTTGCTCCCCGAGACGATGGCTGCCCAGTTCGTTGTCGTGAGTGAGGTTTAGGAGGACTCGCAGTACTGCCAGTAGAACACCCACTGCATGATGACTGGGGGAGGGGAGGGAGGGAGGGGAGGGGAGGGATGTGAGGGGAGAAGGCTGGTGTATTAAACGGTAAAACTCAAACACAAGTCTAGTGTCGTTAAGAGGTAGGCTCTCTCCTTCCTCGCCGGTGCTCGAGGTCGGGGCTTGGCTCTCTCCCTCCAGGACGCAAATATGCGTCATTGCGTGATAACGCGGAATGCATTCGCTCCGCGCGGTGGTAGGTACTCCGTGTGAACGCTTACCTCGACCTTTCGCGGGCTGCAGGAGTCGGCATCTTTCTCCAGCGTCTTTACTTGTGCTGAGAGGCTTTTTGGATATTACTTTGCCCACAAATAGACTAAAACTATGACCTTTTGGGTACATACGTCATCATGACCAAACGCGCGGGCTTGCGCAGTACCGCAATGCGTACCCGCTGCAACGCGCAGGCTTAGTAGCTAGCTATATACACCCAGTCCGTTCCAGCTCCTCCCAGTTTCTGCTAGCTACACTACGCGATGGCACAGCGCATCCAGCTGATGCAGTGATACAGTTTTTCGCCGTAGATGGCGACACGACCTCGGAATTTGGTCTTGGGAGCGGGTTGTGCTTGAGCTGACAGAGTGTCTGAGGGGGTGGCCTATCAGATATATTATCTACTGTGACAACTATTTCAGCACTTGCCGCCTCTTCGACACTCTGTTGACCCACCAACTCTACGGGTGTGGTACAGCTCGCCCAACCCGCAGACAGTTCCCAGAGACCCTCAAACACGTGCGACTAGGGAGGGGGGAGCACGTGTTTTGTCAGCGAGGGGACCTTGTGGCATCTGTCTGGATGGATAAGAAGCAAGTCAACATGCTCTCCACACTCGCCCAGGCAGATGTCACACACACTGTACAGAAAAGGCAGAGAGATGGCACAATGGCCACTGTACAGTGCCCTGACACGGTAGTACTGTACAACAAGTACATGGCGGGTGTGGATAAAGGCGATCAGTACAGACAGTACTACCAAGTCAGGACCAAGTGCCTGAAAAACTATAAATAAATTTTTGGGTTTCTTTTTGATGTAGCTATCACAAACGCTTACATTTTATCAACATTCGCCCCCACCACTATGTCCACCAGCCAGACACGACAGAAGCAGTTCCGCCTGAAACTTGCTGAGCAGTTGGTAGGCAACTACAACTCTCGTAAGGCACTGGGCCGTCCCTCAGTCCATGTCCCCCCTCCCCGAGCACTAGTCAGTTGCCCTCCTCAACCCAGCGCTGTTCTCCACCTCCCATGTCGCCTACAAAAAAGGAGGAGATGTGCTTACTGCACACAGCGCAGAGACCCCCCAATGCGGAAGGACACATCCTTCTATTGCAGCGAGTGCACTGACCACCCCCCACTGTGCTTCACTGGGACTGGGGACGGCTCAGACTGCTTCAGGCTCTGGCATCAACATTAGTTGTAACACACCTTTATGTTATATGCTATTTGTGTCATTCTTTTCACTTTCCTCCCACTCTCCCTCCTATTCTCCCTTCCTCCATGTATGATGGTAATTTTACACCCCCTCCCCAGCCCCACCCTCCCTTGCCATCACTTACTATTCTCTCCTGTTGCCTCGTACTTACCCCTCTATATTCCCCGCATTCCCTCCTTATCCCCTTCCCTCCTATATACCCCTTTATCTCTACTTGCTATTTGCTCCCTCCCTTACTCACCCTAATCCCACTCCTCCCCCCCTCTATCCTATCTCTTCCTTATTTTTGTTCACTTTGTGTTACTTTTGTGTCATGCTGTTGCACCCAGTGCACTAGCATGTGTGTTGTAACTCTGTTCTATGTGGTGCATGCATGCATGCACATTGTATGTCTGCTTGGTTTTGTAATGTGCGTCCTGTCTTGTCGGGCAAGATCAGTCGACCTCCACGTGGTGCCCGATGGAAACGGCACGCTAGGTGCTGGCTAACTGACTGATCATGACACAACATACAACTATGTGTATGTAGCTAACTCTAATTATAGCACACTTCCCTGAAGACAAAGCGGCACTACCCACCCTGAACATAAACTGGGGCTCACACAAAACAGAATACAATCTCAGGGACCCTTCAACACAATGGCATCTACAAATTCAGACACTAGTTCGAAATTCAGTCTGTGTGTTAGAAAGTCATATGCTATCTGAGTATGACAATGACATACCTTGACCACTGGTTCTCCGTTGCAGCGAAAAACACAGACACGAGCGTCTTCTCCATTCCCAGTCTTCATCGACCCTTGCAAGGCCTTGCGTATAGCGCGAATTGCACGCTGCGAATTGCGTGCAATACGCATGCGCGTAAATCCGCAACGTAAAAATTATATTCGGCCCCAGAGAGTTAAACAATTTTCCACGTATATACATGTATATCCAATGTTATGGTCAGCTGATTACACTTCCACCTAAATGGCACTTCAAGGAAATGTACTATGAAAGGTAATTAGTAAGTACTTCATTACCTATAGCAATATTATTCTACAGACTCACTCATCACTCCCACTCCCACCCTACGAAAAAGATTGAACTTTCCCTATCATAGCCCCATACATCTATGATGCTAGGTACTCCCACCGTACGACGATATAGGGCTGTTGTAATGTAACTCCTCGCTAGCATCTCTGTACTTCCACAAACACCATCGTTGTCTCCCTTTCTTTCTATACGATCCCTATATGCACTCTTTTTTTAATCCGCAGGATTTTTTATTTACTTGTCTCCTCTCATTTTTATATGCCTGAGCTCTTATCACAGAGCTGTTGTCTCTTTGCGCATGCCCATCAACCGCGCCCACGTCACGTGGCCACAGCGCAACTCTTCGAGGCTCGATCGAGCATGCAGCGCGCGCGCGTGTGCTCGTGCGTGCCCGGGCCCAGGCGGTTCGGAAACAGTGGAGCGAGGATCATAGGGCTAGCATGCAGGCCCCACTTCAGCAGGGCAGCAGACTAGCAGCATTCTGGTAGCCATTTAGTCTGTCTGCATGTGTAGGTGGTGTTTATGTCCACATGTAAATGGGTATGTTCCTGTCAAGCCTACATTCGGTACATGTCTACACAAAACCATTTTTGCGGTACCCATAAACAACGGCAAAGAATACGCTGTCTCCCCTGCCCTTTTCTTTGGCCCCTAGACCTTAATATATGAACGTGATACACTCTTGGAACTAGGTTGGTGTGTGTCTAGTTGTGGGGTGGGCTGAAGGAGGGATTCTCTTGGTTGACCATTGCAACCAGCCAGGAGTTCACGACATAATTTTTTAAAGATATGTTGTAAGTACAGTTGTGATAATTAGAGACTCCCACAGGTCATTCCTTTATTAACCCTCGCCCGCGCGCATCCGCAACCTCTTTTCTTCTTTTTCAACGCCATACCGACAACCTTGCGTACACGTATTCAGCATCGGATGTATGGTTTACTGTTAAACTCCGAGTTACGGCATGAAACACGAGCGAAAAAGCCAATGTGCAAATTTGAACTGGTTTAAGTATAAATTATACCTCGGTCTGATCTGCTTGAGCTGCGTACATCGGAGGTAGCAAGAGTTGCAACGAAGGGTGAGTATAGACTCACACATTCTATCTAGTAGTGTAGCTTCAACTAATACAAACCATGCCTGTCAATTAGTGGTGTGGCGCATGCATTTACTTACGCGTACATGAAGTGTGCCGAGGGTTTGCACTTTAGGGCTGTTGTGGTGTCCTACTCCTCACTAGCATGTCTGTGCTTACACAAACCCCATCTCTCCCTCTCCCTCTCCCTCCCTATCTCCCTCGATTGTGTGGTTTACATGACATGTTGTCTAGAGTCAGTCGTGCACAAAGATGTTCCAAGGGGCCTCAGGGGAGTCCACTAAGTGTTCCTCTGCCATCATCCCTACATAGGCAACTATGAAAATTTGTCTATATACATCAGATTTAATACTGAATAACCGTTTTTTGCATGCGCCGTTGCAACTGAATTGGACTTCGAATAAAATTTAATATATGATAGTGATAGATAGATGGAGTAAATGATAGTGGGTATAATGGTACATACAGTAGACACTACTTTTTAAAGTATATTATTTTTTCTATCGATTGTTTCCTCCCTCTCCACCTCCTCCTCCTCCCTCTCCCCCTCCGTGGCTGCTGCTGTTGTTGCTGCTGCTGTTGCTGCAGTGAAACGTAAAGATGCAAGAAGGCAAGCAATACAGCTATAAGTACCATTTGTTGCTGTGGCTGCTGCTGCTGTGGCTGTGGCTGCTGCTGCTGTTGCTGCAGTGAAACGTAAAAATGCAAGAAGGCAAGCAATACAGCTATAAGTACCATTTGTTGCTGTGGCTGCTGCTGTTGCTACTGCGCCCGTTGCTGTTGTTGAAGCCGTTGCTGCATTGAAACAAACACAGTAAAGACGCAATAATGCAAGCAATACAGCTGTAAGTACCATTTGTTGCTGTGGCTGTTGCTGCTGCATTGAAACAAACACAGTAAAGACGCAATAATGCAAGCAATACAGCTGTAAGTACCATTTGTTGCTGTGGCTGTTGCTGCTGCATTGAAACAAACACAGTAAAGACGCAAAACCAAGGCAATACAGCTATAAGTACCATTTGCTGCTGTTGCCGTTGCTGCTGCTGTAGCTGCTGCTGCTGCATTAACAAACACAGTAAAGACCAAAAAGGCAAGCATTACAGCTATGTTTACCATTTGTTGCTGTTGTTGTTGCAGCTGTTGTTGGTGCTGCTGTTGCTGTTGCTGCTGCATTGAAACAAACACAGTAAAGACGCAAGAAGGCAAGCAATACAGTTATAAGTACCATTTGTTCGGCCATTCTTCTGAGCTTCTCCTGAAGCTCACCGACCAAGTCTTCTCTAGGAAGTATTTTCTCCCCTTGTATATACAATCTGGTTTAAACCTACCGAGAACCCTGACGTCCTGTCGGACGCCCTCCTCTCCCATCATCTCTGTTGATACACAGGCACAATGACGTAGTGTTCGTCTTTTTCAATAGCCTTTTATATACCTTCGTCCAGAATTGAGGCATCTGGACTTGATGGGGGACGAGAAGAAGGAGGAGGAGGAGGAGGAGCCCCGGCTGCCGAAAATGACTAATTGTGCAAAACACTCCCATTTTATACAACTGCAGACTCTGAAAATCAGGCATGTGATTGGTCAGTCACGCCCCCGCGTGTACGTGTGTGTTGATGAGCGCGTGCGCGCGCGCATGCTGCTACACCGTCGCGTGTGGGACGTACGCGTGCAGGTTGCATAACTGTCACATGATTATCAC